GTGTGTGTGTGTGTGTCCTCTGGTGTGTGTGTGGCGGGAAAAAATTCCCCGAGGGCGTGTGAAACCACCCAAAATATCTCCGAAACCCGAGTTTTTTTTTGAAATCGGAAAAAAACATCGGTGGAAAATCACGAGAGGACTCGATTGCAGCATTTTATTTTTGAATCGTACGGTTGGATTGTCCCCAAGAAACTAGGCAAAAAACCCTCCAATTCCGGTTTTTTGCCCATAACTCCGTTATTTTTTGTCAAATTGGAAATCGGAAAAAAATCATCGGTGGAAAATCACGAGAGCTGTCCAAATCCGGTCTCAGATTTTGTGTCTGCAAAAAACACCGCCCTCCAGAAAGTAAGCAAGATTTCTTGAATATCTGAACATATCGAGCGAAGGACGAAAACAAAAAAAAAACTCCGTACGAAGATGCGCCTTGAAACGTTGATTTACGTGGCAATTTCAGATATCGGAATAAGTACCCCCACCCCGAGAAAAGTGCACGTTTGTGCAGGGGAAAATATTGTGAATATTTGCCCGAACGGACATAGGACTTCAGGAGTGCGCGGCAAGGGGTGTAAGACCTCGGAGATCCCTGCCGGTGAACCCACAAAGCATATCTGTTGTAAAGAAAGCGGTCTACCCACTAGACTACTTAGTCGCCGCGACTAAGTAGTCTAGTGGGTAGACCGCTTTCTTTACAGTCGATGCGCTCCTGCTCGTGGTACGCCATGGCGAGACAAGGATCCTGGATCGACCCTTCAGGATGCCGAAGAAGCACTCCACGTCCTTGCGCACGCTCTCCATCCTCTTCGAAAAGAGGATGTCGTTCTCGCTCAGCGGGTACTTGGTGGGTTCCATCAGGATTTTCCACTGAAACAAAAAACAAGGGGAAGGGAGAAGGGCCGAGGGAGGGACGTTTCGATTCGACGCTGTTAACAAGCTGCGAAATAGGGGGAGGGGGCAGGGTCTTCGAGGTCGAAGGGGCGTGCAATGGAAATACCAATCAAATAACCTAAAGCCATGACATACCTCATGTCAACTTCAAGAGCGAGCAACCGTGGTTTTGATTCCCGAGACAACAAATACCTCACTGGGCAGCTCTCTCTCTCTCTCTATCTCTCTTCTCTCTTTCTCTCTCTCTTTCTCTTTCTGTCAGGCCGGACACACACCTCTTCAAAAACACTACCGTCGGTCACCCAAAATCACAACATGTCATTTCCATCCACCTTGTGCTACCCGTTGTCGACTAGCAAGTAGCACCCCTTGAGCGTTGTCGTCGTGCCATCCTCGTTGTACATGTCGAAGGTCTTCTCCGTGCACTGCTTGTCCGTCCGAATCTTCTCCACCGCGGCATCCCAGCAGACGATGGTCTTGTCGTTCGTCTAGCCGGTGAAGCCCTCGGTCATGGCAATTGCACTGCCAGCGTGATTAACCGTGACCTGGTACCCGATCGTAGGAACCCCCTCTATGCCTGTGTAGGAACGGGCTAGGTTGCAGGGGCCTTACTCCAACCGGTGTGAGTTACATCCATGGAGCCCATCGCGCCCGAAAACCCAAGCCGGTCGTACTGCTCCATGACGTGGTCCAGCTCGCCGTTCTGTTCCGACGAGAGGTAGATGTGTTCATCGTACAGTTCCCGTGGGAAGTGCTTGCAGAACTTGTGGAACATCGTCTGCACGGCCTTCGCGCTCACCCATGACATCTGGTAGATGCTTGCAAAGCAGTTGCCGCTGCCGAGTATGGTCAGCCAGGCCAGTACCTGCACCAGCAAGTGCAACAAGGAATGTACACACGGGATATCGCGTTGTCAATATTATTAGTGATGTGATGTGGCTGCGTGTACCGTACGTCGTGTGGAAGCATCTCACGGGCGGGAGGATTGAGCATTGCGCCGTACGCTAGCCAACAGAACGACTGCCAGTTTAGCTTTGCGATGTCGCGCCGACTGCAGCGCTCTCCTCCTGCGTTATCTCGGACGCCAGTTCAACCCGATGTGACGTCACAACGGTGGTGCTGCAGTTGTTCATGCAGCAGTTGAACCAAAAGTGTACATGATGCTGTACCTGCAGACAACACCGACGAAACACTGTCCGGTGAACATATGCTGTTGTGCACGAAGNAGTACCTGCACCAGCAAGTGCAACAAGGAATGTACACACGGGATATCGCGTTGTCAATATTATTAGTGATGTGATGTGGCTGCGTGTACCGTACGTCGTGTGGAAGCATCTCACGGGCGGGAGGATTGAGCATTGCGCCGTACGCTAGCCAACAGAACGACTGCCAGTTTAGCTTTGCGATGTCGCGCCGACTGCAGCGCTCTCCTCCTGCGTTATCTCGGACGCCAGTTCAACCCGATGTGACGTCACAACGGTGGTGCTGCAGTTGTTCATGCAGCAGTTGAACCAAAAGTGTACATGATGCTGTACCTGCAGACAACACCGACGAAACACTGTCCGGTGAACATATGCTGTTGTGCACGAAGGCAGAGCGGCCGGGTGCACTTTTTTCGAGGGTTGGAGAGCACGGCCGGTGGTCACCAACCGCGTCTCGTCAACGACATACCCATGGTGACGGCATGCTTCTTAGGCTTTTTCCCCGTAGGCGATGTTCTTTTTTTTTTTTTCGGCGTTTCACGGATATTTTCGGCGATTTTTTTTTTTTTATGCCGAAAAGCGAAATGATGTGTCCTTCGTCCTTCTCTTATTTTTCTACAAACTACATCTTGCATGTTACGCTGGTGTGTACATGCAATATTCCGAGCCCTCAGTTATCAAACAAATCAACAACGAAATGGAATACTATGATGCTTCGATACTTCGACGTTACGCATGGCATGCACGCTCACGTCGGGGCAAAAACAAACAAATCTGGACAGGTACTGACCCACCAACTACGAACAAGTAAGACATCTACACGAAAGTGAAACACAGGCCATCAGTCGCTTTCTTCATCGCTGCCATCGCTCTGGTCGCTACCGCTGCCGCTGTTGGCCTCTTCGGCGCTACCCGTCTTCTCTGCTGAGCTGCTACTCTGGGCCCGGCCCCTGTTGTACTTGAGCAGTGCGGAAGCGCAAATACGGTCGCTGTACACGTGCTCCTGCCGTTCATTAGAGATTAAAGCAACACCGCAGGATGGAAAACACTCGTTCCATGAATGCAGAGGATGGTTGCAAAAGAGCAACATCCAACACCAAGGCGTGCCACGTAGGCAGCCTTTTTTTCTTGTTGTCCTTCCAGAACGCCATGTGGCCGTACTCGATGTCTGTGTCACTGGCCGCCATGTAGTAGTCTTCCTTCTCCTTCAAAAGCCCCTTGACCATCTTGCTCTTGACGAACGGGAGCACCTTGAGGCTGCGAATGGTGTCATCGGAGTACTTCTTGCTTTTCATGAACACGAAGTCCGTCAGCTTCGCGGCCTTGAACACTTCCAAGGTCTTGGCCTCCCTCGCTTGGGAGTGGCGTGCAGAGGCACTGCTGCTAGAAGAAGATGAACCAGCTGCAGAAATGGTGCCACCAGCGCTACGTTGGAGTGCAGAGGCACTGGTGCTGCAAAAAGAAGCTGCGCCATGGCTGTAGAGACCCGTGTTGGATCCCGGGCACCGGCAGCCGGTGGTGTAGCACTGCCGCTGCCGCTGCCGCCGCGGCCGCCGCTGTCGGCACCAGAACCATTCTCGCTTTCAAAAAAAAGGTTCTGTAGTATGAGTTCTGGAGGCGTTTTCGTCGCTGGAGCACGAGTCTCTGTCGCCAGTGCTGGAGTACGCACGCCGCCTGTCCCTCCTCCTTTGATGGCGAAGCCAGGTTACTGAGGCAATACAGCTNCAAAAAATGAGATGGGCATCGCTGCCTACGCCGACGGCCAGAGGCCCGCGCATCTACATTTTTTCGCCTGACCCCATCAGTGCCGACCCAACTACACCACCACGCGCATGCCTCGCGGCGGATATGCGCAGCAGCAAGAAGGTTTCGGTCATCCCTTGAGGGTGAGTCTAGCCCTGCTCGCCAGAAAGACCCCCCCCTTCACTACAACCCATGTCTAAGCAAAAGCTTGTCGAGGAGCGAGGGGAAGAAGGAAGTAGTTAGCATGCGCCGGGTATTTTTTTTTATCTCCCATCATTGATTGGACTCTGTCGTTTGCGTCTCTGGCCCCTATCCTCCACATCTACTAGCTTAGACGACCCAACCGGGNCAAGACACATTTGCCCACAGGTTCTCGTTGTGGTGGGCTCACCATCCTAGCACCGCCCGCGGATGCACAGGCCTCACGACGTTGTTCCAGCAGCGGACACGGGTTACACACACACCCTTACGCACCGCAGGCCACTTTCTGCGCCAAGGGCGTGCACACAGCCACAGCTACGAGATGATTGATACCCCTGGCTTGAAGAACATCCACAACGTCACACCATCGCAAATCTCACCGCATTCCGCCCTTCAAATAAAAAAACCAAGCCACAAGCTGAAGCAACCGCAGCACTCTCTCGCACTCCCCCTGGATCGATTTCACGTCCGATTCGACCCTAGTCTTCAACACAAGCAAGGCCTGTATCAGTCAAGGTGAAGGGGCACTTCGTGGACATAGAAGTAACACTTTAGGGACATGTCCGGTGTGGCGAATGTCGGGGCGGCTGGGTCCGCCATGACGACAGATTTT